GGGCCGGCGGTCGCCGAGGCCTGAGGAAGCCGGAGGGCGGTTCCCTCTTGGCAGGGCCTGCAGCCCGGGTTAGGCCATGAAAAACGCGGAATTTGTGAAAAATCGGCACAGCTCGAGGTCCTCGGCATTGACGAGTCCTCCAGCTGCTGGAAGTTCCTTGTGTGCTTTCTTGGAGCTGTAGTGAGATCATCTCAAACGGGAACGTCTCTCAAAGATACCTACATTTCTGAAGTTGGTGAGCAAAGGATCAGGGATTACACCATGTCAGTGCTTACAGGAGGGTTGTGGACAGTCTTTTAGATCACAGGTGAACACTTGCAGTGAGCCGGACCTCTGACCTCTGATACTAAAAAATATTGATACTAAACATTAAACAAAATATTGATACTAAACAAATATTGATACTAAAACACTGATACTAAAATCAGGACCTCTGATTTTGTCCAGCATCCTTCAGGACTTTGGAGCAAGGGAAAAGAGCACACAGAAAAGACCTAATCCCTAAGTAAGTGACATAACATGAAGGCTTTTGGTTTGTGGTAAATTTTGTCACTTTCTGTTGACCAGAGGCTGCTGCTTAATTTACTGTAAGAAAGGAACTGTTCTAAGGGATGGCTAGGGAGTGTGGGAGCTTATGAGAAATGAAAATCATGAGAAGGAGCCAATGAGCTTTTTGTAAGTGCAAATGAAAATAGGAGAAACCATAATCAAGATGGTAAAGGACAGAAGTTTTTTTTAAAGTAGCCTCTATTCTACTGTTGGAAACTTGACACTAGCAGAAAAGGTCATTTTTTTAGCACAGATTTGACCTAGTTTATATGGCTAAAACTGGCTGGAAAACTGGAATGTCAAAAGCAATTGTGGTAATCTATTTTGGAAGGATCAAGTGGACAGAAAGCACTTTAAAAATGGCATTACCTGTTTCTGAGTTGATGGCAATCAGAAACAAATGATCTTGAATGTTTATGGGTCAGTGTTCTAATGGATAAGTCAGAAGTTGACAGGGTACTTAGCTGATATCAAATCACACCAGAGAACAGCATGACCTGTGCTTTACCCATCTGTAGTGTATAGAGGAAGCACTGCTGTATTGTGGTGAATTTCAATCTGAGTGACATATGCTGGAGGTCTCATGCTGCCAGTGTTAAAATGTACTTGGAATTTCAAAATATTTTAAATGTCACTTTCCAAACTCAAAAAGTATTGCATCCAACACAGGGAAATTCTGTGTTAGACCTCATCATGACTGATGAAAAGGAATTGATCATGGAACTAAAAATTAGCCATAATTTAGGTATAACTGATAACAATTTGATCACATTTGTTACATGCAAACAGAAATAAGTCCAAACCAATAATATATATACCTACTGCTTCTAAAGGGCTAATCTTACAAGGGTGAATACTGTTATGAGGTAAATCTGTTGGGAGAAAGAATTTAATCTGAACTGGGAAAATGATAATTGGAAACCACTTAAGGATGTTAGCTCAGATAACCCCAAAGTCATAAGCCCGCAACTAAGGAATACATTTGTTGAAAAGGCATGGTGGTTTACAAGGGAAAAATCTATAAAAAGAAGTAGGAATGTGGTATTATACATGTACATTGGAAGCTAGGAATTGTAGAAAATTGCTGTGGGAAGTTAAAGATTATAAAGGAAATATGCATATGGTCCATAGATTTAAAATTAGGAAAATGAAAGCTTTTTCAAGTATAAAATATTGAAAATTATCTGAATAGACACTATTAAGGGATGAAGATGGCAGGTTTTACCATAGTTGGTGACAAACTTTGAATGTGAAAACATATACTTAATAATTCTGTGCATTTGGGAAGATGGCAGCTGATGTAGTTATGTTGAGTTGTATTGAAAACTTGATTTCTATTCAAATGATAATGTAGGAGGATGGTTCAGCTT